ACACACACACACACACACACACACACACACACACACACACACACACACGTCTGCTTCAACCAAAACACTTTGGTGAAATCGACCGGAATCTGCAGAATGTTTCAGTCGACCTCACTCTTCACTTTTTTTTGCCAAAAAAAAAAAAAAAAGTTTCAGATGAAAAGTTGTGCTCAGCTCCGATGACGACCTCCCCTCCCTCCCATGGCAGAGCCCCATTTCTGGCACAAAGGACTTCTCCCTGAGCACAGAGCTCAATGGGAGCTGCCCCAGCACATCCTATGGTGCCTGCCTGAACACAGACCCGGGGGCGGGGGGAGGATCCACCCCCATCCGGACAGGCACGGCTTCCCACACCTACCCTCTCGCTGATGGCGTTGTATTTGATGGCCAACTCATCGCGCTCGGCCCGGCTCTGCGCCAGCAGGTCCTCGACACGGGACAGCTCCTGCTGCAGGATGCGGTTCTCCTCCTGGAGGGAGAGGAGCGACGACATCTCCCCAGGGCAGGCTGCTGCGGGGACAAGAGCGAGAGCCGTAGCAGAGCAGGGCAGGACGGGCATCAGCGCCCAGCTGGGGGCGCCCACCCCAGAGCCACAGGGAGGCGGCTGCTTGGAGAAGAAGCTGGCCCTGTGGCTCTCCTAGCAGAGCTCCAGATCGCCCCAGTTTAAGGCCTTGGTAACAGGCATGACATCCACAATACTAGATGCGGCCGCATGGGTGATCACCCACGTTCCACGTGACGCACCCGTCGGTGCCACAGAGCGAGGTGGGACCAGCCCAGCCCTGTCCCCTTCCTCCCGAGCCCAGGGCAGCGTCGCAGCAGGATTTCCTGGGAGCCCTCAACACAAGCCTCCCAAGCCAGCGGCCAGTGGCAGCACGAGATGTAGAGCCCTTTGTGGGAAGACGGAGGCTGATGGATACAGCCAGACCCTGGGCTCCAAGAGATGGAGAAGAAAGTGGGGCCGGGGGTGCTGGGGAGGGGGGAATATCAACTGAGGTACAAGGCAGCCGTAGCTCCAAGCCCCTCCCTGGGCCGCATTGCTTTGCTGCCTAAATCAGCGACCACCTTTGGCAGTGGACACCCAGACTGGGCGCTCCACCAGGGCAGAGTCCCGGGGCACTGAAAGGGTTAATCTGGCTGCCGTGGGTGGCCCAGCTCTCCCCTGGTTTGGTGGGCCCCACAGCAAGGGAGGTTTTGTTTGAGGGGCCACGAGCCTTTAAAGCACCAGTTTTGCACTGCATGGAGATGGGGAATTTAGCAAGGCAGCCGGCCTGCTTGGATCCACTCCACACCATCTAGGCATGGTCCTGAGGCTCCTGGCAAGCTACCAGCTCAGCCATCAGGTGGGCACAGCCTGGCAAGGACCAGGGGCCAAGAACCCGCCGAGAAGCTGCTCCTTGGTGGCTGTGGTTTGGCGTGGCCGGGCAGAACCCACGCACTCCCCCAGCACGAGGCTCAGCCCAGTAGGGTACGGCGGTGAGCGGGTTAGACTGATGGACACGGAGAACGGCAGGGGGGCAGGACTGCCACAACCCTACCTGGGCTCTCCTGCTGCGACAGGTTCTCGGCGACGATCTCTCGGATCCGGGCGGGCAGGCGGGTGGGGGGCGCGTCCTCAGAGCTGCCCCGAATGGTAAGACTCTTCCCCTCCCCTGAGGTCAGCACGCTGCTCTCCAGCTTCTGTGGGGCGCGAACACAGCAGGCTGAGTGCGAGAGCCAGGCCCACCAACCTGGCACTGGGTTTCTTGTTCCCCCTACGGACAGGAGCTACCCCAGGAGGTCTCCATAGCCCGTACGGCCTCCTCCTGGCCCTTCGTGGCCCTGTGCACCTTGGCAAATGCCTTGAACTCGCCCTGCACCTTCCTGGCACTGCAACTCCTGCTCCCCAGACAGACATACTGGGAGGCAGCCTGGTGCTGCTCAGACACCAGTCAGCCAATCAAGACACAATGCAAAGCCCGTCCAACCCTCCTAACCAGCTGTGGCTGGGATACAGGTGACTGACTGTGGAGAGGCCAATGACAGGAAGTTGGGATGCTCAAGACTCCGTCTAGCTGGATTGGACCCAGGTAGGGTTGTGGCAAAGCCACAGGCAAAGCCAACATGGAACCGGGGGATTAGCAGCCAACCTGCTGACCTGGGTTCAAATCCTGCAGGTCTGGTGGGTTTCACCCTATCACATATCCAGCCATGCTGTAACCTCACTGCACGCACCTGCTCAGGAGAGGGACACGCCTGCAGTGGCCCAGGACGGAGGAGTAGGGCAGAGATGAGGGAGGAGCAGCAAGAACAGCGGCGGGCATGGGGGAGTTTACACAGCACCTGGCTGCTCTACAGGTCCTTTGCATTGTGCTAATACCCACATTCACCCCGAACAGCAGAGGAAAGAAATGTCAGCAGGAGCTGGGAAAAGGAAATATTGGGGAGAGGGGGAGATTTAGTGGCCCCTGGCCCCAAGATGCTAGTGTAAGAGATCAGTGCCCCAGCACCCCCATGATTGGACTCAGTCAGGGACAAATAAATAAACCGAATCCACTGGACTTTATGACATGCCACAAAAATCCTTGGCAACACCCAGGCTGCCACCACTGCGGGTTCCATTTTCCACCCTCGTTTGCTTAAACGTGGCAGCATCTTCCCCAGGGAGGACGACAGCACCTCTAGGGTCCTGGTCACCACCTGCCTGTCCTGGGTTCAGATCACGCGGGGGAAAGTCCACATCAGGGTCCTGGGTCATTTCCCCTTCACTTGTCACCAGCAAGGCCGACGGATGGTTGTTTCAGCTGCAATGGGATCAACCCCACCCTTCCCCAAGGGAGATTCATGGGGCCAGGCCAGACCCAATAGTCCCTGGGGTCAGGCTGAGAACGAGAGGAGAAGAGGATTTTTACTGTCAGCCCCAATCAATGGGGCGCCAGATCCTAGCCTCCAGCTCCTGGCCCTGGGGAGAACAATCCTCACACTCCTGGCCCTGGGGAGAACAATCCTCACACCCCATCGCTCGCTTTCTAGTGCTGGGCTGACAACCCAGGAGGCTGAAGTCCTCAGGTAGCGCCTGATCCAAAGCCCGCAGAGGTTGATGGTGGGTCCATCGCGGGCAGGGCAAGCTCCCACCGTGACACCGTCCATTCAACCCTGGGCCTCACCGCAGAGGCAAAGGGGCCGGGGGTGAGAAAGGTTTTTGTGGGGTGTGGAAATCTGGGCACGAGGGACCTGGCTGGAGACCAACCCACTCGCTTTACACAGGCCACTGAACAGCCACCAGGATGGAAGCAACTTCCCATCGCTCCTGGCAGTTCAGACCCAAACCAAGAGCTCGGAGGCAAAAGGCTCCCAGTTCCATTACCAAGCCCCAGCCCCTCTACTTATCCCACGAGGAGCCCAGATTTGGACCCAAGTTACTCAGGGGTGCAGCTCAGAGCTGTGACACCCCCAGAACCCAGGAATGGGCAAAGCACTTTGCAAACACTTTCTAGGTGCAAGCTCCCCAAGAAGCCCTTACAAACACGGACCTAATCTCTCCCTGCCTCACCACGCCCGTCCCTGCCAGGGCAATACAGACAGGCATCCTTTACCCGTTGGCTCACCTCACACCCGAGAGCTCTACGGTATCTTCCAGAGAGGCTCTCCCCCTGGCCTGGAATGGGCTTGGGAGTCAGACCCAGCCCTGCCTCCGAACCCGGTTCCTTTGCAGCTTTCATTTCAGGGGATAAAAATAGTGCCCTAATACAAAGCAATCCAATCAGGTGCCAGCGTGTGCACCCGTTTTGAGCCTGTCAAGGGGCTGACAGGCAGGGCCGGCTCCAGGCACCAACTTCTCAAGCAGGTGCTTGGGGCGGCCGCTCCGGAGAGGGGCGGCACGTCCAGGTATTCAGCGGCAATTCGGCGGATTCGGCGGACGGTCCCTCACTCCGCCTGGGAGCGAAGGACCTCCGCCGAATTGCCGCCGCAGATCGCGATCGCGGCTTTTTTTGTTTGTTTGTTTCGGCTGCTTGGGGCGGCCAAAACCTTGGAGCCGGCCCTGCTGACAGGTGATCTGCACAGGGGGGTAGAAGAGTTGGGCTTTTCTGCTTCTTTCCCTACTGGAGGACTCTGCAGCCAGGTGGAGAACTTCGAGGATGATGCGATTACAAGCATCAAACCCGAGCAACAATGTTTTTTTAAAACCCACGCATATAACGCCAATGTCTGGCACATGCTTGGGAGACAAACACTCCAGGATGGATTAAATTACACAGGCGCCCCTTTAATAACTGGCCCAGACATCTCCCACCCTGTCTCTAGCTGTCCAAGCAACAACTGGGAAGGCAAGATATAATATTCCAGATATTGTACGGTTTAAAAAACAAGGGGGGGGGGAGGGGAAGAAAAAAAACTTTCAAGCTTCACATATATATCCTAAAAATCTTCATCAGCTTAGCAGCTCACCCTTAATCCAAGCCAGCAGCATTTTCAAGGAGGCCTTTCAGGACTGGCTCACACACTGTTGCTACCCAAACAGTCAAGACAAAGGGCAAAGAGGGGTCTTTGGAATATACCAGGGGCCTGATTCGCCTCTCGTTGGCCCCAGTGTAAATCGCGAGCAGCCCCACTGAAATCAGTGTGAAACCGGTGTGAAACCCGAATCAGGCACTGGGTCCCCCAGCAATTCTCCCGGCCCTAGGAGGTGTAAAATGGCTCAGAAGTCGGGGCTGGCTTGAGCCACAGCAGGGAGAGGGGGAGTCGGTCGGTGCCACACGTACAGGCTCCGCTTGCAAGGCGAGGAAGCGCGTGAAACCCAGGAGTTTCCGATCCGGAGTGAGACCAGAACCGGGCGCTCCCTCCTCCCCCCCAGTCCCTGCCCGGGTCCTTTCAGCCTGGCGCCCCGCAACCCGAGCAGCCCCTCGGAAAAGCGAAACCACCCCACCAACCTGGATCACCGCCTCCAGCTTCAGCTCGGCGTCCGCTGCGCGCTCGGGGGCGCTCGATGGGGGGGGTCCCCGGGGAGATCCGCGAGCCCCCCGCCAGCCGGCCCAGCCCTCCCCGCCCCTCTTCCCGGCTGCTAGCGGCTCAGGGGCGTCCCATCGCCTGGGGCCCCCCGCGGGCCCTTCCTCGGGCAGCGCCCGCTCCGCACCCAAAGCGCAGCGCCCGGGGACTCGGGATTCGGGTGAAGTCCCGCTCCCCCGTGTGACCCTCCGGGCAGGGAGACCCAGGGCGGCCCGGGAGGCGGGCAGGCGGCCCAGGGATCCCGCCCCTTCCTGGAGATTTCATTCATGGCCACTCCTCTCCCTGCCCTGGGGTCCTAGCGCTCCCCAGCCGCAGAGAGGCGAGACAGGGGCCCTGGACGTGGCTACGAGTTTGGGCTGGTTATAGCCACCGCAGGAGCCCTGAGTGCTGGGGGGGGGAGAGGGGGGAAAGTGGGTTCTACAGTTACAGGTGCCCCCGCCCCCAAGGAGTTTGGGGAGACTAGGATCAAAGGGTGTTAAAACACGTTAATCGACACGTTTTAAAGCTGAGTGTGGACAGGGTAAAGGGTTATGCTGAGGCCAAGAATTTAGGATTCAAACAGGGAAGGGACATTTCTACAGGGATGGAGAATATGCAGTTGCCATTACTGACAAGGAAAACTGTGGGATGGATATTCAGCTTCCGGGCTTAAGGCAATCTCTAACTATTAAAGATCAGGATAAGACCCAGTGTGGAGGGCAATTTACCCCACATCGGCCCCCTGAAGGGGAGGGGTCTTGAACAATGATGGATTAGCTACTGGGCCAATGGCACCCGTGCCCAGGGGCCCCAGCCAATTGGGGGGGGGCCTGGAAAAATGGGCATCCTAACCT